GACTTAACAACGTGTGTCACGACCACGTCGCTAGTGTACAGAGCGCTGTAGTAAATAGTAATTATATTATGTAGATGGAGCAAAAAAAAAAACTTGTACAAACAGCGGTGGTTCGGCAGGTTAAAAAAAAAATAATACACACTGAATCTGTGTTAACCGCTTGCCCACGGCTTGGACCGCATCTCCTGTGCATACAACACATAATATATACACCAACCTGTGTATAATAATAATATATTGTGTTGTTATTAAAATTTCACGCGTATATATGAAAATATAATATATATTTTGTTCAGTCCGTGATCTAAATAAAACCTGGTCGTCCAATAAAATGTAGTACTACTACATTTTATACATTTTTTGATTTTTTAAATTGTAGTAGCTACTATATATTGTATGTTTAGTATGATATGCATACTAATCTGTTTTCAATAACCGGCAAATGTGTCTAATTCACGTCAATACGTTTATAATATTGTTATACAACAAATTTTTTTCTTGGTGGTACTGTATAACCAATATTATCACCAGTGAGTAATAAAACTATGGGTGGAAATTCGTTATTTTTTGATGACCGACTTGTTTTTTTTATGTAATTGTTGATGTAGACTTAATAGAATTTGTATTATTTAATTATAGGTACCTAAATTATACCTATAATTTAAAACTGTTTAGTCGTTTTTTCATAAAAACAACAAGAAATATTATGTATTATAACGTTCGGTATCTATACTTCAATTTAGCACTTGAGCGATGTGTAAATTACCTGTCTACCAGTATGTTATTAATTATTTAGCCAATAAGTCAATCGGTTGTCCTTAATGCCTATTTCTTTTGCGTCGAAGATGGATTATTTTTTTTTACGACTTGTAAGGTGAAAGGTGGACTTTAACAAAAGGACAAAATTAAAAAACACGATATGTTAAAATTTAATGACTGTCCTGTCGTATGAGCAAAAAATTATGCGAGTTATGTATAACTAAATTAGTATTTATAAGGTATGCGATTTATTTTTTACACGGTATAATAATTATTTAGTAATAATAATAGTATAAGTATTATACTTCGACTAAGATTTTTAAAATCTGCTCTTAAACATTTTATACACGTTAGCATAACATTTTTGACACAGTAAGGTTATTTCTATTTAATGAGCTAAAGTGATACTATACGATTTCAGTTATCGTGATTCCTTAAATTAGGTTTGTTATAATCGAATTATCCTACATATGACGTAAATTAAATTTTTAAGTATCTAGTACATTGATATATCATGATCATGTAGCTTAACGGGTCATGATGGCTTAACGCTGCCATCATGAGATGGTTTCTTGACGAATTCGCTTCCGGGACGGGTCGTCAATCCGTCGCCGGAGAACATTACTGCTCACCAAGTGGGTTGCCAATTGGACACAGTTTACTACTCAGTACATTATATATAGTTTTTTTTATAAAATAAGTATTAATAAATTTGAAGGGTAAAAGTAAACTAAAATAAACGAAAATTACAATCTTATGTATGATATGAGCTTATTAATGATAAAATAAAGTTTTTATGAGTATAGTGTATAGTTTGCGTTTTATTGTCCTGCTAAACCAGTATATAATCCAACTATCAAAAATCTTTTTCTAATTAGAGACTCATATCAATATTTATACCTTAATACGTTCAAACATAAGACTGAGTGACTGATGTGTAAATTAATTTAATGTAACCTTTATATAGTAAAACTAGCAGTTGAATTTCTAGTTTATTATACACTTGTAATGACGAACGGTATTAAATTATAATTTATAATTATAGTCAATTATAAAAGGCTGTTATTTAACGGTGATGGTAAATAATACTTGAATTTCTAAACCGGATCTTTCCTAAAAAGTTTTTTTGTGGTAATTCAAAGAGGTTTTTTGCACCGTTAATAAAATGTAAAATATTTTCCCAAGTAGTAACCTATAAGTGTATATCATGATAATTAGCTTGTCAACCTAATATTGGTATCGTATTTTAAACTACTATTGACAGATGCGCTTTCTCTTAAAAACGCAAAAATATTCATCAGAAACAATATTCCTTCCTTATTGTTCTGTTTCAAATCGTTTGTGTTTTGTAAGTTTTGAAAGGGAAATTGATTGCATTACGTTTAGCCAATCATATTTTTTTCTTATAGAAAAGTATATTAGCCGTACTTGCTCTACCGCCGTCGTTATTGTTATACTTTAGTTTCCCGTGTAAGGATTTTGCTCATGTTATTGCCGTATGGCTTTTTAGGTAGTTTTATATTATTTCACTACTATTATTGTTTCTATACTGTTCATTATAATATGGTTGACATTGATGCAGTTTTCTGCACATATATGCAAGTGCCACATTTTAACGGGACATTTACATAATATAAGGTTCTCGTTGCGAAACGCATTATAAACACACAAAGTAATAAAACTACCAAGTCCGAGAACAAAATTTGTACCCACATGTGAATGTTGTTTGTTTGTACATGAAAAAAATAATATAACCCGTTAAATCAGCTCATTAATGACAAGTTTTTTCGTTTTGTAGGTACGCTTACCGTTTTGCATTTCGTTGCATAATGCAATTATTATTTTTATTATTACGATACCGGTATATATAATATACACACTTATAAAAAAATATATATTATACACGCGACTTGCGCATTCGGTCATGTGGTTCACGCGCGTGCAACGGTTATATGCATCAGATTTAGGAGATTAAGTATTAAAAGGTTATGAAAATAATGTAATATATATATTATATATATATACGTGTACTTAGTGGCAGAGAAAGCAAAAATACATAACGCCAGCGCACATTATCTTTTCTTTAAATCTTTTCTTCTTTAAAATCGAATTTAGAAAACGGAAGCACCGAGGCCGCGACGGAAAACCGTTTCCTGGAAACGCGCCTTAGTGTACGAATAGTCATTCGCTGGAATCGGTACAATTTTAATTTTGTACTATATCATTTGTATCAAAATAATTAACCTTAATACATTGTAAAAATGTATTTAAATAACTGGATGTTGTTAAATAGAAATAATACTTGTCAAGATATAAGGAAATTATTAAAAAATTAAAAACCTAACGTGTATCTCCCATCGTAATCAATACGATTAATTTGTAATCATAATAAAAAATTATGAAAACTATATATTTAATTTATAATAGCCTCCGACTGAAATGGGGTATTTTATACGTTATTGGTTATTATGTATTGTACTTATATTTCTATGTATAATTTTTTTGTTGCCTAAAATATTGTTTTTTTATTTAAAAAAAACATAATATAATAGATTTTATACGATTAATAACCCCACAACCGTTGTGTATTTCGGTCATATTTGTTTTCGTCATTACTGAGATTCATTAAAATGAATCAAACGCCATATATTTTTCCAACGATTGTGTAGTCTTCAGAGAGACTTCGCTAGTATTTGTTATTATTAAATTTGGGCAGTCCGACTGACGTGTTCGCAGTATTTTTGTTATTGTCCTCAATCGGATGTGTGGCAATTGCTTTTTTAATAATTCTATAACCGAGGTCATCCACCTCGTTCAACGCAGTGTTGTGCTATTACACCGCAGCACATCATTAGCAAATATAATTTTCCAATTATAAATTTCGCGGAAGAAGTATAAAAGATGTTGTAAAAAATTAACGGATGAGGTAAAGTTAATTTTATTGCTCTCTTACATTCGCGTTAAATGATATGCCGGCATTAGCGTACATAAAGTCAGTCCACAGCCGGTTGTAAAATTATGAATAATATTAGTATTAAGCGTTTTTAAGTACATCACAACAGCACGGTTTTCCTTAAACGGCCGGTGGCTGTTTCTTATTTTTTGTGATGTCGACCAACTTTTATCGCGCTTTATGTTTTACAGCTACTGCGTGCATTGGACCGTATAGAAACTCTTTTGTATGTGTAATTGTTTTCTGTTCGGCCAGCGGAAAATTATCACTGTAAGATAGACGTTCTCTGTCGGTAAATGTGTGCGATCTATTTCAAAAATCGTTAGCATTTTTTTTTGTTCCGGGGAAGTTAATTTATAACTACCGGAATGATCGTCCCTCGCGGTTTTGTATATTATGTTCTTTCCAACGCTCATTTCAAATCGTTACCGTTAACATATATATTATTTAAAACCGTATGTGTCTGTCCGGGCGACTCGTGAATTCAATTAATCAAATCGCGCGTGGCAACTGTTGGCTCGCACGACTTCTGAAAGTTTCCTCAATGGGATTGTCACGTTTTTCTTCCCTCGTTCTCGACGGCACTACGCCCACCTGGCCAACAGAACGGGCTGACTACGGTAATTCCACGAGACGTTACCGATGTAAAAATCGTTTAATTCAATATAACATGTCGTACATTATAGTATTGTTGTTGTTTTTATGGAAGTAACGCTCGTGGCATTCCGATTAAAGTGGAACGGCGACAAGGTCGCATACAATTAATGTACACGTATGTACCTACTGCATCAGGTAGTAGTAGTAGTAGTACAACAGCACACTTAAGATTGATGGCCCTCGAGTCTTAAAACGAAATTTATCGAGTGGTCCATGCAACAACGTGCGGCCGCAGTGGAGTTGTGCAGTGTCTCGAAGCAGCGCCGTGCATAGCGCGAACACCGTTGTGCCGTTCCGCGCTGCCGTGGGATACCCATGATGTGGAATGACCTGGAAAATATTATAATAATTCAAAAACACATTAATAACGAGTGAAAGCAATATTGTATACGTGTATACATATGGTATAATTATGCATGCGTGTATTGGATCTGTCGTTTAATGAGTTTTATTGTCTTTATGTTGTCTGTATGCATCACACAAAGCAGTAATAATAGTGTAATACACGTGTTCTATGATCAGGACGCGTTAGATTTAAGCATTATTACATTTGACGGAATGCCTTTTGATTTTTAATTTTTATATAGCCGTCTTTCAAGTGTCGTGCTAATAAATATGGTTTTGTTTACAGCTGATCCGATGATGTCACCCATGAAACCGGCTCCGCTGCAGTTTGTCAAGCTGGCCCCGCCGTCCGATAGGTTTCGATCGGCGCAGGATCAGCTCAACAAAGCAGTAACGGCCAAACCAAAACCTAAAGAATTCGATGCGGACTGGCAATCGGTAAGATAATAAACTTGCTAAAAATTGATAGGAAAATATAAATTTTATTGTACAACTATGCTAATATTGCTGTGATTTTAAGCAATGAATGAATTGAATACAAATGGTCTGTTAATTGAGAGTAAGTAGATAAAAAAAACTTGTTTAAGCCAAGTAAATGGTAATTGATAAAAGAATTAGAGATTGGAGTGACCGTATATAATTTTAAGAGCAATGACATTAGTGCAATAAATGAAAAATTAAATTACGTTGAATAATAAGAGTTGTCATTGATTAAACATGCAAATATTAATAACACGAGATATTTATGCTGTGGTAAAAAGAGGTATACTATGTGACAAAAAATTACATTTAGAATGAAAGTTAAATATAAGCATAAACCTTAAGGTCGGATAAAATTACCTTTTTTATTTACGTCTTTGAGAGGGATTAATAAACATTAGCTTACCAGAGGCAGTGCAAAATTCTAGGGCAAGCTGGTATACCTCAACTAATTTTGATTTTCCCCAAATTCGCCTACCTATAATTTATAAATTAATAATATAATAATAATCAATAAATTAACAGTTCTATATTTATTATTATTCATAATAACTCATTTTATTTTTAATATGTATGTTGATAAAATACAATAGTCAAAGTCCCAATACATTTTTGCTCTTTTCATTTAATAAGTCTTTTTTTGAAGCCGCGCAGCATGCAGGTGCACGCACGCTCAGCATATTACGTACGCACGCCTATGCACAGAACTCAGAAGTAGCTGAAATGAGTATTTTATTGTTAAATATAATTTACGTAATGCGGTAAGATGATTAGGACAGTCTCGTTGGCTATTTGTTAGGATAAGGCAAAGAAGAAGACGATTAAATCATAATTTGGGAATATACTCGTGTATACTTTTTTGTATGTTTAATATTGTTAATTATGATTTGAAGATTTATTCGTGAATCGTTGATTTAAAATTATTTTGTGTTGAGAACCTTCAAATGTTTTGTACGGTTTGCAGGACTTGGATAATTGGAAGAGCAATCGGAGGAAACAACAGGAACACATTATCGAGCGTTTAGTAGAGGTGAAAAAATTCGAGACTGATCGTTTGGACGATGGATTCCGGAAGAGAAGCAAAACGTTCAATGAAATGATTCAAGAAAGGTAAGGGTTTGATAATATATTGTAGTAGGATGCGATTGTCCTTTTACGGACATTTTATGAAGAGGGAAAATGTATATATGTCTCAAACTTGAATCTTAACGCTGTTTGACAAATTCCCGGTATATTTTTAAAAATATTTTTCACGGTAAATTTGCATTATTGTGCGTAACACAGAAAATTAAAAAAATTATAATCACATAAATGTTTGATTTTTGCCTGGGTATTTAAACCGCGTCAGAACCTGTACGCCGCATTGACATGTGGTAATTAAAACTTTTATAAATTATACTTAAACTAATTTTTCCTTTTATGGTGAACATCTATATTACATAAACGGATAATCGCGATCAGCCGGTTGCAGCATATATAGTAATGACCGTCTCTCTAGTACTGTAATCATGTTATTGACCGGTAACGTGTATTTTGTGAAATTAAAAAGAAAGCGCCCCGTCTATTGTTGTGGTTCAAATGCTTTTAACAGCAGCTACGATACTGACTACAATATTGTATTATAAATCATTCGTACACATAGGTAAAATATATAAAAACGGTGACAACGGCGGCCCGTAAATGTCTAAAAAAATGTTGTTCGTGGATTGCAATTGTGTTGTACATATTGGAAAAAACTATCAAGTTTTACTGTATATGCGCCTCCTACACTTGCACCACTAGCACAGATATAATCAATTATTATTGTTGTTTGTTATATTATGAGTTGCGTGCGGTAATATACAGTGTTTCCCAACACTATTTCGTAATAACGAATGAATTTATTCTCCGTTTAATTTCAGTTACCTGTATTCACATATTACTGTATCGGCCAGTGAAAGTCCATGAGAATTAAAAAAAGTAGAAATAATCTTTGCATTGTCCGATTGTCATTGACTTCCAAAACCGCTACGATGTTTTTGACGTCGCGTCGGATAATCCGCTAGTAAATTTATTGCACGCGCAACAAAAAGATAAAATATTATGCTGTATAATTTGAACTTACACATAAGCATATAGTTTGAAGCATTATAATCGATTGACTTCTCGACAATTTAAGTAGTAGCGTTGGCGGACAGGCGCTGTGAATTATGCACGGTAAATGTCATGCCGACTAATATGCAAATATCTTTGTTTATTTCTTACACGGCCGTGTATTTGGTCATACAATGTTCCTTTAATGCTCTTGAATATTTATTAAACGTTTTGTCAATACATACTATTTCGCTAATGAGCCGTGGAGCCTAATATAAACACTCGAGAATGTCCATTATTTATATTTAAACAATGTTGTTTTCTATTTTTGCGCAAAAAAATATATATTAAAGCGTTTTCCTGCGACCGTGGTTGGGACAATAGGAAAAATAAGAGGAATTTACATTTAACCATCATTCGACTTCAAAGCGCTTGCTTATGTGGTTAATAGTGTTGCTTATGTCAGTGTACCTGGTTCAAGGTCGAACAGCTACAACGTCCGTCCCACTGTGAAAATTAAGATTTGAAGCGATAATATTTTTTATTTTTACAATTTTATGTTAATACTGATTTTGTAAAAAGCTGAACATTAGGTGTTACATAAGTTTCGAGACCCTTATGTCGTTTACAATAGGCATTAACTGAACATATTAAATAATTAACACTAGGTAACCAATATGTATCGGTTGGAAATCCTCTGTTATCGAAAGAAGGATCAACGATTTTCTATTTATTTTGATTGCATAACACTTACTTGTAGTAAACTTACCTGTGAATTCCAAAAAAGTCACCATTTAATTTACCGCTACACTGATCATCTATTATAGACTATACTTTACACGGTCTAGGTAGTCATGATTTTTAAAACCATATACCCAAGGTGTTGGACGAGTCGTCGTCTGAATAATGTGGCGTAAGTGTCATGTGTATTATCGTTAGTTTAAATTTGTTAGCAAGTGCTCAAGAATGCATTCCAAGCATGGCATTTCTCGGCGCAACTCATCTTTGTGTATTTATAGACTTTGGACGCCTTTCATGGGTTAGATAGACTATCTCTCGCTAAATGATCCTAGAAGGGCGTGCAATCAAGAAAAATCTATTTTAACTTGTCGTTTTAAAAATGTCCAAAACATGAATGCCGTATAAGCAAAGTATGTTTGTTTTCTGACCATTTCAAGTCTCGGATCCACTGAGTTTGTGGATTATTTGGGTATAATTTTTGAAAAGTTACTTTTTATTGAATTGTAATTATACACTAGTATTTTAATTATAACCATGATTGTGCTATTTTTGAGACGATTAACAAAGCGTTTTAGCTAATGGAAATATTATGCGCGTATTTATCGAATAAAAAATAAATGAACAAGTAATGCGCCTTACGGCATATTCACTAACTATGTACAGGCGCAAATTACATTTAAAAAATTAAATGAGTGTTATATTATGTACAGTATAGTATAAATTCCTAAGGAAAATATCTTAAGCGGAATTTTGTATATAGTATAATAGACGAATAGTCCAAAGAAAAAAAGATGTTAAAGCATTGTGTTAATAGAAGCTGTGATAAATAAGTTTTATATACGTACATCGTACATGATATTGGACCCTAATGAGAACAGATTATTTGCTTTTAGTTAGCAAGTGTATAATATGCGTTTAATTATCTCCTGTAGTATATATATATACTACCTAAAAGCAAATAATCTGTTCTCATTAGGGCCCAGTATCATGTACGATATATTCACAATAAGTAGTCACAGTTGTCGACGCCATCAGGCTTTATAAGACTACTATGGGGCTTGTCTAGACCTCCAAAGTTATCAGTAACTCTCCACCTCAACCTCAAAATAATCCTATTGACAGCAAACAGATATTAAACGACATTTTTTCTCTTATTACAACTTAAATTGTATTTGTTTAATGCTGGCAATTTTTTGGTTTTTATTTCTCCAAACTACATATGCTATTCACGCAATCCCTATAGAAATCGAAAGAGTTCTTAGTAGGAATGTTCATTCGCATGAGTTATTTTATTTTATTTTAATTTGTATTATTATTTATTCAAATGTTGTACAAACGCTTTATTTAGGCTTTTAAATTACCTAGATGAAAATGTAAAATATTATGTGTCCGGATAATTCCAAAAACAAAAGTGCTTAATTAAACTTTCAGAGAAAATCGGTAGTAAGGTTAAGTGTTCACATCGCTTTAGTCAATGGGGGAAATAAACAGGGTCTGGAGTTTTTTGCGGTCTTTAGGTTTTTTTTGAAATATTACTTGTATGTAGTATGTAGTATGTTTATAAACGTAGACAAACTGTTTGTGGTTGTGGCGGATACCATTAGGATATAGATAGTTTTCTCTGTTGTGTACGAAATGATAAAAATGTACAGTTGAAAGACGCATCATCCTTTTGAAACCGGTTAAGTCACGTGGGCCGTAGGCTTACATTGTAGTAGTTACATTATGGAGTTTAGTTAGCGACCGCGTAAACCGATATTCCGCTTTTGCGTTCACTTTTAAGCTTGAATATCATGTCCTAGCAAGTCATCGGTTAGAGGTAAAAAAAAAAAAGAATAAAATGCTTTATTATAGTATACAAATTATAGAACTTGAAACCTAACGGCGGCAGTGAACAATCTAAATTACTTGGCATGTGACAGTCGGATATTGTTATACCTACGTTATTGTTGTTGTTCGGCGTTTGAAAGTGAAGTACAAGAGAAGCATTAGATAGAGAAAACTGGTTTCGTTCGTTTTAGCCTTGTCCGCACTTTTGGACATGGCATTTTACATTATCCGAACAGACGTAGAACGTATAAAGAGCTCAGTAGAAAGAGAAAGAGTATAACACTATCCTAAAGCGTGTAACCCTTAGAGCATAGTCCGGAAGTCATAATATATCGTATGTTATTTGCATGTGCTCGCTATCACTGTGATTACCGCAGGCATTCATATTGTTGTAAATATTATTCCAATACAATAATTATTATAATTGTCTGCACGAATCGAACGGCACAACCATGTATGTGTTTTGTTACCTAACGAATGACCAAAAATTAGAAATTTTTCTCCTGTAAATCATGGCATTCATAGATTAAACATTGGATAATAGCATTGATTATAAATACTAATATTATTTATAGTCAAGGATAAATAGTATCACACATGTATTGACATTCATGTTTCTTATTCGATTCGGTCATAACTTTTCATGCGTTTACCATTTATAACGGGGGTTGTAAAATCCTAATTCCCAAAACTGCTTTGTTATTATTGGTTTGGTCAAATATTTTTCCATATTTCATGACAGCGCATGAGCGATAATGTCAACTACTCTTCATACTCGTCCGCTGTCTATTTTCTATAAATTACCTTAACACACTCTTCTTTCAGTGACCAAACTTGGTGCGATATTTTGGCACAGAAACCGAGTAAAAGTGTGACCCATTCGCCGCTTGGTAACAGTAGTTTTGTTTTTAAACTCATTGCTGAATAATCGGTCGGTAGGAGTTTTTTTTCTAAACGATTTAAATCGTATACTTTCTATAATATTGCGTTGGATAATATTTTTTTTTATAATAACTGAATGCATACATTATAATTGTTTTATGTGTAAACATTATAATGGCTCAGGTACTGACCGTCGCAGGTCGCCTAACCGTACTTCCTTAAGGTCGTGGCTTCTTGTCCGTCAGTTTTATAGTATAGAATAGTGTACAATATATATATATATATATTGTGATAGACACTAAGATTCTAAGGTGCAAACATTAATTAACATATTTGTGTGCATGTATGTAATATATAAGAAATGCATAATGGTTATGTGTTGCGTACAAGTACTTGCGTTTTTCATACTTCGAGAAAAACTATATGAAATTCAAACTACGTTACATAAACAAAATATGTGCGTAGTGAATATGTTTGCATATAATTATTATTCTGTGGCACTCAGAATTATATCTAATCGGTGTATATTTCTAAGTGCCGTATACATAGTGTGTAATGCAGAACGTATTTATATTTTATTTTAG